CAGATTTTGGCGAATATGCAAAGAGAGAGTGTGCAAATATGCAAAAATACATAAAATATTCAACGTAAAATATATGTTGCAATCTTCAAAGAAATTTCTTTCTAATTTTGCTTACGAAAATGTAAATTTGCATAAAAATTCATGATTCAAATGTGAATGCTTACGAGTAATGCGACATGAAGCTATTTCTACATCTATGATGTAGAGAATGCGTAAAAATAACAAAAATAATTGTTCAAAAATTTTAGTAAAAAATTCTTTTTCTTATATATTCAATCGGATATTTGTGATTTTTCTGAGAAATTAATTTTACTGGAATTTCAATCGTTTCCTTCATCTATTCCCACAAAACAAACGGTCTAAAATCTCGTTCTGAAAGACATGCACAAAAACAGCTTCACATCGAATTGTTCAATGTCAGTCTAAAAAAATTCGCCATACGATAAATACAGGATACACCTCGTGTTACGTACCATAATAATAAAATATCCAAGCATGCATATGGCCACCACGCACCTGAACAACTCCGTCATGCATACCCAGCTCATTATTTCTTCTATACGTGCTATGAAACTGTAATTAATATCAATAAAAACGACCAGTCTCGAGACATCAGTCGATAAAACGTAATGATTTTACTCCAATATTCTCAGGTGATGTTGCACGATCATCTCGATTTTTCTAAGGGAAGCGCCCTTCTTTTGGTCCCCAGACTCGTTCACGTAGTCGTTGATCCAAATCGCCAGAACGTCCAACTGGCCGCAAGCGTGGGCGGCTAAAACACTCGCGAGGACGTAGAATCCAATGCCGCCAGAGTCGGAGACGAAAGCTGACAGAAACTGCATCACGAGAACTATCTCGTTGGCGGGGCTGGTTTCCACTGGAATCATCTTGTTGTAAACACTGAGGGGCAACGTACGGAACGTTTTCGTCTCGTTACCGATATCAATGGTCTGCGTAGTGGACGCGCTTACTGTACAGTACGACACGGAACCACTGTGCACGAAGATCGCGCAGATGATCGACACGTATCGGCCAAACTTCGCGCGCCTCAACATTACTTGCTGCTCGCTGTCTTTCGTCACTATTCGCCAATCTGCTTCCATGTGTTCCACGCAGTCACCTATGCGTTTCCTTTGAAACAGTAGATTCGTGTAACTGATCCCACCGATCAACCAATGACTCATAGTACCAAACGCTCTTATTTTCTTGTACAAGATATCATCTACGAAGATCAAGT